CTCCTGCCCCTTAGAGGGGAAAACAGGGTTGTTTGCTCCTCCCCCTTGTGCTAGACCTGCTAGCTTTGCAGTTACGGCTCGCTGGTGCATGTTTAGACATTTCCAGGGTCATGGCAGTAGAGGCTGAGAGGAGCGTGTCAGGGCTGGTGGGGAGAATATCGGGGAGGATGCACTCATGCTTGGTTAGGGGACCTGAGACTCCAGGCCACACCTGGAGGGTGCTGACAAAAGCCCTTGCAGGGCCTGGGAGCCCTGGGCTACTTGTTCAACACTTTGTGATTTGCCAGACCTCCCTGCCCCAAGCAAGCCCCACTGCCAGGGCAGCCCAGATGCCCCTGAGCTGGACAGCTAAAGAATTCTTGTCCTCCCTGGCTGGTGGGGCAGAGCTCCTGGGAAGTGTCTTAGTCCTGCAGAGTAAGGACTCACCAGGTGGTGTGGAGTTGATGTCATCATGGCAAATTGTCTCTGTCCCTGAGCAATTAAGACTGGGGGGTGTAGGGAAAAACTGTGTTGCTGTTGTTGTTTGAATAAAAAAAAAAACCCTGATTAAAAAGTTTCTGCCTATTTGAGACTGTTTTATGGAGGCAGAGGCGAAGGTGGGAGGTACAGGAAGTCAACCCTTCTTTGGGCTGTGTCAACCAGGGTTGTCCCCTTGTACGGGAGATCGCCAGCCTGGCCCCCAGTAGCCCCGTGATCACTGCTTGGCCTTCACATCGGGTTTTTTCCGTGCAGTCCCAGCTGCTCCTCCAAGGTAGGGCTGCTTGCAAAGGAGGCCTCCAGGGAGCCCCAGCCCCTCCTGTCCCTGGAGGAAAGCCGCTGGTCCTGGGGCGGGGCTGCTGAGAGCCTCACTCTGCCTGGAGACCCCAACCCCACAAGGTCTAGCCCTCTTCCCCTGCAAGCCAGCTCCTCCCCCTGGCCCAGCCCTGGGTGCTCTACAGCGCTAGGCACCCGGAGCCTCCCGGGGAGCTAGTCAGAGATCTAGGTTCCTGGGAATTCTCCCCCTCGGCCCAAGGAGGGGCTCAAGGAGGCCCAGAGACGAATGTGCAGCTTGCGGCAGGTGCCACAAACTAGCATCCCTGCCACCATGTTACTCTCGTCCTTGCCTCCTAGTCCTTAGAACAGATTAAGTTCTTGAAAGCTTCAAATTCTCCCTACAGCCTCCCCAACCCCCGCTTCTACCCCCGGCTCCCAGGAGAGCAGTCCTCTCCTCTCAAGACCAATTTCCCACTTTGTCTTTTGATTCAGTTCTCATCTCTCGGACCTTGCTCAGTCCCGAACAGTCTTCTGTTCATTATGGTAAAAACAACCACCAAAAAGTCGACCAGCGTCTGTTTTTAACTACTACCATTATTCCTTTTAGGGCTAAGCTGTTTGAAAGAATGTTCGGTGGCTCTCTGCTTCTGTCCCACTTACTGTGAGTGCCATCACCACCCTGTTCCCTTCTCCGGCAGAAGCAACCAGCAACCCCATGATGACCCAAGTGACAGGCTCCGGTCTCCACCACACTCTGCCTGGCTGAGAACACCCCTTTCGCCCCTTTCAGTGCCATGGCACTGCTGGGCCCTCTATCTTGACTTCCCCTAAAATTTCAGGGCACCCAGGTTCAATCCGGGGCCCTCTTTCCAGCCTGCTGGCTCTCCAGATGAGGACAGGCTCTCTGGGATGCCTTCCTGTTCATTCATGGCCAGTCTTGATCTCCATCCCATACCTTCTTCCCGAGCTCTGACCCAGAATCTAAAACTACCCTTTGAATCAGAAGTCCTCTCAAACTCAGATCATCCACGAGCTCTCCTCTTCCTGTGCTCCCTATGACTTCCGCATTCCCCCAGCAGACCTCGCCATACAAGCCAGGAGCCCGGGGATCGTGGGCAGCCCTACCCTCTCCCTCACTCCGTCCTGTCAGTTCTAACTTCAATATCTATCTCCCCCGTAGCCACTGGACAGCACCGGCTTCCTAGCAGATCTCTCCTTTTAACCTCTCCCCTCTCCAAACTGTCTATACGGCAGCCAGACTGCGTCTCCTAGAAGACAAAATGTGATCCCGCTTCTCCCGCTTAAAATCCTTCGATACCATTCCACTTCTGGGTGTAACACCCAGAAGAATGGAAAGCAGGATCTTGAAGAGATATTCGTACAGATCATCGTGAGGCTTCCTTTTGTGGTGTCGGCATCTCCTGCACGCGTTCCCTGGTAACCGCCGTGCAGACTCTGGTCACATGGGGTAGCTTGTACTTGCCTCTCTCCTTCTGCACGACCTTCGGCTTCCCGGCCCCAGTGTCTCCTTGTCCCAGTTACGGCCCAAACAACCCACACAGCCACAAAGGTTTCCTGTGCCTTCTTGTCACCTGGGGGCCACGGCCCAGGCCCCCTCACGCTGTCCCAGCGGGAGTGCCCTTGGGCACGAGCCTGCCCCAAACTGCTCCCTCCTTCGGATTGCTCTCCTCTTGCAGGGTCCCCTACTTCTTGATGCTCCAGGACCCCTTTCGTGGTGGTCTCCAGAGCTCTGAGCCAAATGTGTGGTTCCCTTCTTTCGTGGCCAGGGCTATCTGTACGGCTTCTGTTAGGGCCCATCTCCCTGCGCTGGGGTCACCTGGGAACCTAGGGCCTCCCCCAGCCCCGGGAGCTTCTCCTGGGCAGAACTGGGTCCCAATCACCTATCTGTGTATTCTCAGGACCCTGCCGAGGTGTGTCCCCCGGACGGCATTTGGTCAACCTTTTACCGCAGAGTGAATGGTGTACGATCGTGTTCATGCCATTCTTTACTGACCTCGTCTTATATATTGGCCCCTTCAGGATGCTTCTGGTTTTTCTTCTTGGTGTAAATTGGCCTCTGTGTAAATTTTTTTTTTTTTTAAGATTTTATTTATTTTTTTGACAGAGGGAGGGAGATATCACAAGTAGGCAGAGAGGCAGGCAGAGAGATACGGGGAAGCAGGCTCCCTGCTGAGCAGACAGGCACTTAACCGACTGAGCCACCCAGGCGCCCTTGGAGTTGTGTCTTTAGGCCTAGTTACCAAAGTGATGTTACCAGGGGCAAAGGTCCTGGTTAGTTTCATGGATCTCGTTACACAACTGGCAGATTGCCCTCGGGACAAATCAAACATGGTGATGCGAGCACTGGTATTACCTTGGAGCTCAGTGAGTCCCCAGAATTAGGCAACACCCCTTTCCCAGCAGGGTATTGCTGGCCACTAAGATCCTGTTACCATTGGGGCACCTGGGTGGCTCAGTGGGTTAAAGCCTCTGTCTTCAGTTCAGGTCATGATCCCAGGGATCGAGCCCCACATCAGGCTCTCTGCTCAGGAGGGAGCCTGTTTCTTTCTCTCTTTCTGCCTACTTGTGATCTCTGTCTGTCAAATAAATAAATAAAATCTTTTTTAAAAAAAGATCCTGTTACCATCATGCGGACAAGAATTAAAAAATTTTAGGCCATCTGGAAAGGCTCAACCGACATACTGCGGGGAGCACATGATGTGGGATCCCTGCCCCAACCCGCGGGCCTATCAAAAGCCCACATGGAAGCTCTGTGTGAAGGCCACATCTGAGGTCACTATCTGCCATGGGATTGGATTGTCTTCCACGTCGCAAGGCCCGCAGATGTACAAGATTCTTCTGGAAGATCTGGGAGTGAAAAATGGTGATGATTCCATCTCTTGACTTGCGACCTTCTGTCACTTGGGGAGGAGCTGCTATTTCAAGCCTGCTCCGGGGGACATCTAACACTGCCTTGTAGAGACAGACGCATCCTCAGGCTCAACCCAGCTCTGGCTCCATGAGAACCTATCCACGGGATCCGGGATCCGAGGGGAAGGGGGTCCCAGGGGAGGCACATTTGCTCAGTAGAGAAAAGAGCGGGTCTGGTTCAGATTGCAGAGCGGGGAGGGAACAGGAGAGGGAAGAACAGCATAGGCGAGAGTGTGGAGCTGGGTAAAGTTCCAGCTGGTGCTGGGAAGTGAGGCTCCTGGGCGGTCTGCTCAGACCGTTGTTCAGGGACAGCGAAATATTAAGGGGATTACGAACGAGGGTACTCATAACGCAGGGGCTGGAATGGCACACTCTTTGCCTCTCCGCGTCCCATTGATAGATAATTTCTACACCCAAAATGGGAGGGATTCTCTACATTTTACAAGCTTCTATAGGATTCCTTTCAATAGGGTGCCCCTCGCGCCCCCACACCCGATAATTTGCATTTGCGGGGATTCAGTTCATGAAATATTGTCAACGTGTGGTGTGTTGCCACCTAACACACGGGCCACCTAGCGAAATTTGAATTTCACACAAATAATGAATCTTTTGTTTAGTATAAGTACTGCCCAAACATTGCATGGCATACTTAAACCTTTTTTTTTTTAAGATTTTATTTATTTATTTGACACAGAGAGACAGAGATATCACAAGTAAAGCAGGCAGAGAGGCAGGCAGAGAGGGAGGGGAAGCAGGTTCCCTGCTGAGCAGAAAGCCTGATGCGGGGCTCGATCCCAGGACCCCGAGATCATGACCTGAGCCGAAGGCAGAACCTTAACCCACTGAACCACCCAGGTGTCCCACGCTTAAATTTTTTAAAATTGCTTGCTTTTCGTCTGAAATTCAGATCGCACCGTGTGTCCTTGTATTTTCCTTGCTAAATGTGGTAACCCCAATTTTGAGGGGTCTGGTTTGCTGGACAGAACTGGTCGTGGAGGCTGCCCCAAGGAAACCAGACGGGGCTGGCAAGAGGGAAACCGGCAGGACTGGTGGACGCGGCTTGCCAACTGTGCTTCTGTGTCCTTCAGTCTCCCAGGGGCAGACAAAAAGCCTACTCTAAGCCGGTGGTAAAGCTGGAAGTACAGCCTGCGGAGAAGCCAAAGCCAGAAGACCCTCAGGTCTCCGGGGAGCCAGGCTTAGAGGTGATAGGAAGCCCCGGGGCTCCCCAAGGCAGAGAGCAGGGGCGGCAGGGAGGGGGACATCCCCCATGCTACCAGCCTCATGCTGTGCCGTCACCATGGCACCTTCTCTGCCAAAGCCATCCTCTTCAGAGCAAAAGTTAGACCTGCAGCCAGAACCCACTGTGACCTTCCTGTTTACCCTCCTGAGCACAGCGGAGCCCACGGAGTCCAAGGAACCTGAAGAGTAAGGCTGCGTATGTGTGTGTGCAGGGCGGGGAGGCGGAGGGGGCTTCCCTCTGCTAACATTCAGACCCGGGCCAGGACTCAGCCTGGGGTGGGCAGAGGGAAGACCCGTGCATGGGCCCTGGGCCTGGGGCTGCCTCCACCCCTTCCCCAATCTGCCCAGCCCACCCTCCCCCAACCTCTAGACTCTCTGGTCCCACCCTCTCTGTGCACTCGTCCCAGGGTCTTAGAGAACCAAGAGTGCCAGTTCCTGGACAAGGAAGACTGGGGCCCCCGGCGGACCTCAAAGGAAATCAGCCATTTGCAGAGTGATTGCAGGAGGTGAGCTGGGTGGGGACAGGTGGGGGCAGATAGGGGTGACAGAGTTTTTCCCCACTGAGGTCAGGTCCTGGGGCTTGGTGGCCCTGGGTTTGCATCTTCCCTTCACCCTCCTCCTTCCCTCCTTCCCTCCTTCCCTTGCCTTCTCACCATTCTGCTCTGGATGACCTCCTCACTGGCCAGCAGGTCCCTTCCCTCCCGAGCATCAGTGTCCTCCTGTGTGAGCGGAACCTGCCCCACAGCCTTGGGGGCCGCAGCTCTTCCCCATCAGTCGACTGTGTGCTCGCACACCTGGTCTGCAAGCGGTCTCTGGCTGCCTCTAAGGGACCCCCCTCCTTTAATTGCCCAAGAACCAGATGGGGAAGTTTGGTCTGTGAAGCAGCAGGCGTGGGGTGGTCTGGTCTCGGGGTGGGGCAGTGGGACACAGTCCCTCGGGGCTGCACGGGGGATCCCAGAGCGTGGATCTGGGTGGTCAGCACTTTCGTTCACACCCGGAGCACTCAAGCAGGACTGGTTCCAGGCTTGACCCTCTTGCTAACCTGGAACCACAGAGAATTCTGTCACTGTCCCCACTGCAGCCCGACAGGGTGGGATGGCTAGCCCACTCCCTAGAGCGGCCGGTCCTTCCCTTGCTAAAGAAGAGAAAAAAGGTCATCCCCGTCTGCGTCTGCTGCTGCCAGCCACTTGGGAAGAACAGTTCCCTCCCTGCCTGTGGCTTTGCCACGACAAGAAGACTGGGCTCCAATGAAACCCTGTTCCCAGGCAGCTGCTCCAGGCCACACAGCTCACACAGGAGATGGGAGCCGGGGCTGGAGGACGCTGCTTTGGACAAGAGCCTGTGGGCTGAATGGATATTTTTCAATTCTAGACTTTGGGAGTCACTGAGCACTATCCAAGCAGACAACCGAGCCCTGGGGGAAAAGCTGCAAAACCTGGTAAGGTGCTCTGCCCAGGCCTCCTCCTCCCTGCCTCCCAGCCCTGCTAGGGCACCTCCCACAGTCCTGCCTGGGGTCGCTACCCACCTCTGGGCGCTACAACCTTCTGTTCCAGCCAACCTTGTCATATGAGAGCCTAAGGAAGGAAGCAAAGGCCCTCCAGGAGGAGGTGAAGGCTGTCGCGGAGGGAGCCCAGGCCATCCAGGAGGATGCCCAGGCCATCCAGGGGGTGGCACTGTTCCAGGTGCAGGGGCAGCCCCACTGCTGCCCATAGGGAGGAAGGACACGCCTTCCCCGGCCGCTCACTCAGCTCCCCGAGCCTGTAGCAGCCCAGCTCCCGGAAGGTAGCACTGTTCATCCTGTAGCCTGGGGCTCCCATGACCCACAGACACCAACATCAGCCCTGGCCGGGCCCAAGGCTGGAGACTAGATACTTCCCCGGGGAGCCACGCCAGCAGCTCCTCTCCAGGTCACAGTAATAAACTTGTCTGAAGCTGAGCCGCCACTCACCGCCTGTTTGTGGGCCCTTGGAAATCAGATAGGTGGGAGGTCAACTTCTCCAAAATGAGCTTGGTCCCTGGGCCCCCTCGGACATTCCCCCCCGCCAACCTTACTCCTCTGGTCCTGAACACCCACCACCCCAGAAGAGGTTCCAGGTCTGGTCGGTGTCAGCCTCAAGGGCAACGTCCCAGTGATAAGCGCTGGGGTAGGACTGGAAGGGGGCCACGCCCCTCTCCCCCAAGGTTGGAGTCCCCTGGTCTAACTCCAAAAGGCAGAAAGAGACTAGGGAGCAGCGGTCAGAGCCTGTGGCTGCCTTGAGACTCTGGATAAATCTCTTCCCCTTTGTAAGTCAAGTCAAGTGCAGGGATGGGGACTGCTAGTGGGAGCTCCCTGAGGGTCCAAAACCCAACACCTGTCACACTCCTGAGTCCTCACACCCTTCCCCCATGGGACCATCCTACCCTGGGCGGCAGCTGGCTACCTGACTTCCCACTGAAGCAGAGAGAGAGAGAGAGAGATAAAATTCCCATACAACTAGACAGGGAGCATGCTTCAGTTCTGTGAGGAAGTTGATGGCGACAGTAAGATGACAGAACCAGTTTAAAGGAGGTTATGAGAAAGCAATCCAATCAAGAAATCTCTTTCTCTCATTCTCTCTCTCTCTATTATATGGAGAAAACAGAAGGAATCCTGAAATAAGATTGCAAAGTTAGATAAAAATTGGTCAATATCTTCCAGAACAATTTTTCTCAAAGCCCCATAATCCTAAGGGGGATTGAAACGTTTATCACTGGAATGTTGCCCTTGAGGCTGACACCGACCAGACCTGGAACCTCTTCTGGGGTGGTGAGAATTCAGGACCAGAGAACCAAGGTGGGGTGGATGTCAGAGGGGGCCCAGGGACCAGGGACGGTCTCATGAAGAAGCGACACTGCAGCAAAGATGTGGGGGACCTGAGGGAGGAGCCCGGAAGATGGCTGGGGGAACAGCATTCCAGAAAGCCGGAACAGCAGACTGATGGTGAAATTGCCCTCTAGGAGCGAGGAAGAGTGAGAAGGCCGGGACCAGGCAAAGACCGTGGGGTTGCTGGGCAGTGCTGAGGGCTGGCTTGAGGTTAGGGATCATAAACTTAAAGTGAGACCAGGGAGGTCCTGTGACCCGGCAGGCCCATTCAGGGTCAAGGGTACAGGTGCAGAGTGGGCAGAGGGACAGGATTTTTTCCCAGTGGAGGTGGCCAAGACAGAGAGGAGTAGGCGGGTGGAGAGGCTTTGCAAGGGGCTGGGCTGGAGGGAGGACAGGGAAAGCGGGAAGAACTGGCACTGTAGGTCAGGGGTCCTGGAGGGACCCGAGAACTCTTGCCATCAGTGGGATCGCTGAGCAAAATGGGAAAAGAAAAGGAGATGAGTTTGCTACCTTAAGTGGTTTCCATCAGCACCACAATCCAACATGTTCAGGGAGGGCCCCAAGGCCATACTGCTGTGGCGTGGGAGCAGAAAAAGCCTGTGACAGGGATGTCTTGGGGACTCACTACCAGGCCTGCTTGTACGCCAGCATGGGGATTGCTGGGACAAATGCTGAGATTATGCCCGTCCAGTGGGAAGTCCAGACAGGACCCAGAGAAGGAATCGACGCGGAAGATCATCTCAGGGTGGCCTCTTTCATCTTGCATCATGTAGGTGAAGACTTTGCAGTGATAGCAACCTTGGATCCTGGGCCCATTCCCAGGAACCGGGATGTCTATGCCAACTTCGGTGCCAAGGCCACGCGAGAAGAGAATGTTCGGAAGTACATTGAGGAGTCCATCGAGAAACAGAGCAAGCGACACCAGTACGACATCAGAGCCTACAGTCCCAAGGGGAACCTGGATAATGCCTGGCACCGGACTGGATTTCGTGAAATGTCCAACATCTTTGACTTTTCCGCCGGCGTGGCCAGCTGGGGGCTAGCATCAGCGTTACCTGGACTGTTGGTCAGGAGAAGACCCCTGCCAACCGCGACCCCTTTCTGGTGACAAGAGCCCTCACCGACACGTGTCTTCTCAGCAAAACTGGCGATAAACCCTTCCAGAACAAAAACGAAGTGGACTAGACTTGTAGTCATCAAACCCCTCCTAGTTCTCCATCCTGCCTCCATGTTTGCCCCTTCTTGGCTCTCCTAATAGCTGTAACTCAAAGGGTGGAATATCAAGGTCGCTTTTATCCCTCATGCCCAGGTAATATCTCTTGCTTTCTTTCACCAGGGTCAAGTTCTTAATCTTCTTACAGCCCCCACCCCTTTCCTCCCCTGTCACCGAAGCAGTCTAATACGTTAGCAGGGAGGGGTAGGGAGACACACCACTGTTTCCATTCAGTCAGGGGCCCCTATAACCAACTTTATATTAAAAGGGAGATTTATCAAAATGGCTAAAATTAACAAGTCAGGAAATGACAGATGCTGGAGAGGATGCAGAGAAAGGGGAACCCTCTTACACTGTTGGTGGGACTGTGAGCTGGAGCAACCACTCTGGAAAACAGCACGGATGGGGCACCTGAGTGGCTCAGTGGGTTAAAGCCTCTGCCTTTAGCTCAGGTCATGATCTCGGGGTCCTCGGATCGAGCCCTGCATTGGGCTCTCTGCTCTGCAGGGAGCCTGCTTCCTCCTCTCTCTCTGCCTACTTCTCTGCCTACTAGTGATCTCTGTCTGTCAAATAAATAAATAAAATATTAAAAAAAGAAAACAGCGGGGCACCTGGGTGGCTCAGTGGGTTAAGCCGCTGCCTTCGGCTCAGGTCATGATCTCAGGGTCCTGGGATCGAGTCCCGCATCGGGCTCTCTGCTCAGCAGGGAGCCTGCTTCCCTCCCTCTCTCTCTCTCTCTGCCTGCCTCTCCGTCTACTTGTGATCTCTCTCTGTCAAATAAATAAATAAAATCTTTAAAAAAAAAAAAAAAAAAAAAAAAAAAAAAAAAAGAAGGAAAATTCCTCAAAAAGTTGAAAATAGCCTGGGTGGCTCAGTGGGTTAAAGCCTCTGCCTTCTGCTCAGGTCATGATCTCAGCGTCCTGGGATCGAGTCCTGCGTCGGGCTCTCTGCTCAGCGGGGAGCCTGCTTCCTCCTCTCTCTGCCTGCCTCTCTGCCTCCTTGTGATTTCTGTCTGTCAAATAAATAAATAAATCTTTAAAAAAATAAAAGTTGAAAATAGAGCTACCCTACGACCCAGCAATTACACTACTGGGTATTTACCCTAAAGATACAAATGTAGTGATCCAAAGGGGTACGTGCACCCGAATGTTTATAGCAGCAATGTCCACAACAGCCAAACTATGGAAAGAACCTAGATGTCCATCAACAGATGAATGGATAGAGAAGAAGTGGTATATATATATAATGGAATACTATGCAGCCATCAAAAGAAATGAAATCTTGCCATTTGCGATGAGGTGGATGAACTAGAGGGCATTATGCTGAGCGAAATAAGTCAATTGGAGAAAGACAATTATCATACTGATGAAGTTCTTGAACCTAGGTGAGGTTCGGTGGGGTGACGGCTGAGAAAGAATTCTTAAGATGTCTTTGGTGCAAAAAGGTGGTTTATTAGAGCACAGGGACAGGACCCTTGGGCAGACAGAGATGCTGCCCGGGGGATGAGAGGAGTGGCTGATTATATACACAGGAGTTGGGTAGGTGAGGACAAAGGGGGTGTTTAGAAGGGCTATGGGGTAAAGAAGACTGTCAGGATATTGAAGGCCTGGTTACTATCAAGCCAAAGCCGTTTTCCCTCTAATGAGGCAATAACATAAAGACAATTGGGAGTCTCCTGGCGGAATGTCACATTCCTGTTATCAAGCATCCTTGTTAGTGAGATTTAGGTTTAGAAGAAATTTAACTTTATTTACTTTTCCTTCTACCTCAGCCTCCTTCAGTTTTGTTTATGGAGGGGAGGGCGACATTAGGGCTTGAGGAACTGAGTTCTGTGCCTCTGGAAATTGGGCTATTGATAAGGTAATTTCTCTGTTGTAAATCTCAAGGACATTTGTAAACCAAGGGAGACTCCTGCCTTGCAGGATTGTGATCTCTGCAGGTTAACTATTTGTTTTTCTTTTAGTGCAGTCAGGGGTGCCTGAGGAATGTGACACATATTACCGAGGGGAGGGGAGCGGGTGGAGAGGGGGTGCAAGGTGCCAGCTTTTGCTTTGTCCTCAGCCAGCCTCCTGCTCCCTCATCAATATGATCTCCCTGATAGGAGGAAGTTGAGAGGCAACGTGGGAGGTTTGGGGCATAGGAAAAGAATAAATGAAACAAGATGGGACCGTGAGGGAGACAAACCATAAGAGACTCTTCATCTCACAGAACAAACTGAGGGTTGCCAGGGGGAAGGGGGTAGGAAGAGGGTGGTTGGGTTATGGATACTGGGGAAGGTATGTGCTATGGTGAGTGCTGTGAAGTGTATAAACCTGGCGATTCACAGACCTGTACCTCTAGGGCTAATAATACATTATATGTTAATAAAAAATAAAAAATTAAAAAAAATAAAAGGGAGACTTATGAGGGGCGCCTGGGTGGGTCAGTGGGTTAAGCATCTGCCTTCAGCTCAGATCCTGATCCCAGGGTCCTGGAATCGAGCCCCACATCGGGCTCCCTGCTCCTTCTCCCTCTCCCCCGATCCTGCTCTCTCTCTCTCAAATAAATAAATAAAACTTAAAAAAAATAAAAGTGAGACTTAGGAGAGAACCAAGCAGGAAATGCCCCTCCCCCCATCCTCCTGGTACACCTTCCCTCACCTGGGGCAAAATGGCCCTTCCCCGGAGACAAGAGCGTCGTGAGGAAGGGATGACCCCATTCTTTTTTTTTTTTTTTCTTTCTTTTTTAATTTGTCAGAGAGAGAGGGAGAGAGAGCAAGCACAGGCAGACAGAATGGCAGGCAGAGACAGAGGGAGAAGCAGGCTCCCCGCCAAGCAAGGAGCCTGATGTGGGACTCGATCCCAGGACGCTGGGATCATGACCTGAGCCGAAGGCAGCTGCTTAACCAACTGAGCCACCCAGGCGTCCCGGGATGACCCCATTCTTAAAAGAAAAAGTCCTTACTGCTTGGTCCTCCATTTATAACACAAAGCAGGGTAGTATTTTCATATTTAAATGTAGAAAATTATATATATGGGTGTGCAGATATGTGTTTTTTGTTTTTTTTCCTAAAGGAGGAAAAACACAGCAGTTGCTGGGAGCCAGATATGGGGTGCATAATAGTCCGGTTGGACATAAGGTTCTCCTGTTGAGTGCGGGTGAGCGAGGCAGGGCTGGCAAAGCTGGCGATCTGGGGCTGTTATTCCCTTGTTGCCACTTCGGGGTCCTCTGTGCTCTGCCCACCCTTGGTGGGGGGCAGGGAGGTGGATACCCGTCAGGTAACAGGTGGAAGCGCGTTGTAGAAGAGGCAGTCACCTGAGTCCTGTGGCTTTGGTTTAAAAGACACACATGTACATGTGGAGGTTTAGTAAGAAGAGTTAGCTGGTCGACCTGAGCGTGGTACTGACAAGGAGCTCCTGGGAATGTTTTCCAGCATGTCGCTAATGCGGGTCTTCTGATACATTAACATTTTTCAAGAAGCAAAAGAAAGAAGCTTAGCTTTTAATCCTATCTGTAGTGCTTCTGAGCCTTTGTCTTTGCAGAAGCCCTTGTAGGCTTCAACTGTCCCCTTCCCATCTCTGCTCTATGAGGAGATGGGACAGCCCCGGTGTCAGAACCCCTGTCGTTTTGTGTCCTCGTGTCTATTCTCTGGGGGGTGAGATACGCCTTTTCTCTGTTAAGATTCCTGAGAATTACTTTTTCTTTTACAATAAAAAACAAACCCCACCTTCATCCCTACACTTTCCTGGCTGTTTTTAATGTTGGTTGTACCAGGCCGGCCGTGGTTTCTGCCTGCCACGATGGCTTTTCACTGTCACGTGTAGTAAGTTCAGAGCTGGACAGCTCCTCGTGGTAAACAAATTGTTTACCCCCCAGAGAAGCGCCTATAAATCAACCAAACATTCCTAAGATCGATTCTTCGTGTTTCTTTTAAATCCCTATGTGCCTTTTCATTCTTTTCTTTCCTACCAAAAAAAAAGGGAAAAGTTTTAAGAGACAAAGGAAGCTCAAGTTTACTTATTCAAGGGATTTTGAGAAATCTGTCTTGAGTCATAATGCTATAACACTGTCTCAAAAAAGGTAATGTTCAGGGAGGGGTCACACCTCCCACCCAGCCAAGATGGGGAAAGGAAAACTGACCAGGCTTATGTCCGTGCCTACAGCTGTGTGAACACCAGCTGACTCCAACAGCCAGAGCTGGAGATCTCAGATGTCACACACAGCTGTCACACGCTCTTGTCCACATATCCTGTCTGGAACATCCCATGTTTAAGAGGCAAAATTCTTCCAGGAGCGGGTGGCGTAGAACACGCGGCAGCTGCTTCCTCGTGTCCTTACCACTGTCCTTCAGCTTATCAGTGGATCTTGATGTCCCTCCCACTGCCTGCCTCCCTCCTGTGTCCTCAGGAATGCATCCGCTCCCTACCCAGATGGGCTTCTGATAAGATCCAAGGTCATATCTGGAGTGCTGATAATCACCCAGCCAGAAACTGTGGCTTCCTGGTGTGCCTACCTGAAGTCACTGATCACATTAGGCCCCCTCTGTAGTCCTCCCACACTAACATGCTAATCCTCCTGACCAGCAGCACGCAGGGAGATGGACATGGAGAGTGAGGGGTGGGTGGTGCCCACGAAACAGGGTTGTGAGCAGGAAGGAGGCTGATCTGATCTGAGACTGGGCAGTGAAATATCACACACACACACACGCACACGCGCGCGCGCGCGCACACACACACACACACACACACACACACACGTTTTTCCATGGCCTGGTTCCCCCAGCTCTTCGGGCATCTTTGGGACAACCAATGGCTGCCAGAGGCCCAAGGCAGGATAGATGATGGCGGGTAGGAGGAGTCACAGCCCAGGGAGCTCCTCAACCCAACCCAGCTCTCTGAGGCCGGGAGGAGGCTCAGCATTTGTACTGAGGAAGTACTCTCCCTCTCCCTGTGCACACGCTGGGCCATTTGCATTGACCCTTTTACCCCTTGCTCCTCTACATGCTGAATGCCGTCTCAACCTTGGAAGATCCCCTCAAATGTTCCCTCTTAGACAGAAGTCCTCATCCTCCCCAGTGGAAACACACTGGTCCTCCCTTTATAGGGGCGCTTACCATATGGTTGAGCCCAAAGTCTGCCTGTCTCCCTACTAGACTTGAATTCCTGGGTTTCCCAGGACTTGGATCTGGGCACCTTCTCCTCCTCAGGGGCTGGCATGGGTCTTGCACAGAGCCAAATAAATGAATGAAGTTTGCAGGTATTAGTGAAGGAGTGAATAAACGAATGGATAGATGGGTGGGTGGGTAGGTGGATGGATGGGGGGGGCAGGTAGCTGGGTGGATGGATGGATGAAGGGGTGGACTGATAGCTGAATGGATGGGTGGAAAGTAGATGATTGTGGGGTGTTTGGGTAAGTAGGATGGATGAACAGATGAATGGATTCCAGATAAGGTCAGGGGATGGAGGTCACCTAGCCAAGGAGCAATGGGCTTCCCTGGCTCTGACCTCTAGAATGGCCTCTCTCTCTTAGAATTCGATGTCCTGCCATAAGCTGGGACCCCTACAGGATACATAAGGAGAATTCTTGTGGAGCCCTCTTCACATTTTAGGGATCCAGATGAGGCAGGAGTGGCTAAAACTTCTTGGGCTCCCACTAGGTGCCAGACACTGGCTAGATGTTTCCATGGATGCAGTCTTCTTTAATGGAAATAGCACCAGTTCTGTGAAATAAGCCTATTATCCCCATTTTACAGCTAAGAAAACAGGTTTAGAAAAGCTAAGTGACTTGCTCAAGGTCACACAGCCTATGTCTAGCAAGGATAGCAATTTGAACTCAAAACCTGCTCTAGCAGTCAGGGCTGGAAATGCTGGAAATCAAATGACACTAAGGAGGGGCTCCCTGGGTGGCTCAGTTGGTTAAGGGTCTGCCTTCGGCTCAGGTCATGATCCTGGGGTCTTGGGATGGAGCCATGCAAGGGACTCCCTGCTCAGTAGGGAGTCTGCTTCTCCATCTCCCTCTCTTCCTGCTCACTCTCTCTCTCTCTCTCTCAAATAAATAAAGTCTTGAAAAATATATATTAGAGGGGCGCCTGGGTGGCTCAGTGGGTTAAAGCCTCTGCCTTCGGCTCAGGTCATGATCCCGGGATCCTGGGATCGAGCCCTGCATCGGGCTCTCTGCTCGGCGGGGAGCCTGCTTCCCCCTCTCTCTCTGCCTGCCTCTCTGCCTGCTTGGATCTCTATCAAATAAATGTTTAAAAAAAAAAAAAAATATATATATATATACCAGAAACGACACTGAGGAGACAGGTAAGGATGGCAGGGAGTTGGCCCCTTCTTGCTCTAACCGGGGTTCTGAGTTCCCATTTGGGCCTTGCCCTCTGTGTTACCGGGAGATCTGGCTGAGCCCTTGTCTCTGTCTGGGTCTCAGTGTGCCTGTGTGGACTTGACACCCCTGGGGGTCCCTTCCAGGTGACTGATGCCGGAACTGAGATGGCTGTGAACCATTCCTGGCCCTCCCTGCAGGATGCTCCAGGACTCTCCCTACGGCTGGGGGCCAAAGGGCAGGGCCACCCACCAGGTAATGGTTAACTAGACCTGACACCCGTCTGTAAGGAGTGACCACAGCTTGCCAAGACGCCGCAGGATGCAGTGGGTGAAGGTGCTTGGGGGGATGGTGGGGGCCACTGCCCTCTTGGGGCTGGGGATCATCCTCGGCCACTTTGCCATCCCTAAAGGGGCCAATGTCCCAGCCCCCAGCGTCTCCCAGGACCTGGACCTGGAGATCCTTGAGACCGTCATGCAGCAGCTGGACGCCAGCAGGATCCGAGAGAACCTCAGGTGAGAGGGCTGGCTCGCCTCCCCGCCTGTTTGCCAGTGCCACCCCCCACCCCTGCGTCTGCCCATGCATCTGCCCACCCTACAGAGAACTCTCCAGAGAGCCTCACTTGGCCTCCAGCCCCCGGGATGAGGCCCTGGTGCAGCTGCTGCTGCAGCGATGGCAGGACCCGGAGTCGGGCCTGGACGCAGCAGAGGCCCCCGCCTATGAAGTGCTGCTGTCCTTCCCCAGCCAGGAGCAGCCCAACCTCGTGGCCGTTGGTGAGGTGCCACTCAGGCCGGGGGACACCTGTGAGGGCGGGGCGAGGGGAGCTGCCAGGCCCAGTCCTGATGCCTCCTCCCGTCCACAGTGAGTCCCACCGGGAGCGTCGTGTTCTCCTGTCGCCAGAGCGAGCAGAACCTGACTGGGGAGCAGGCAGGGCCCGACGTGGTGCCCCCCTATGCTGCCTACGCTCCCCCAGGAACCCCACAGGTGGGTCTGGGACATCCCCTCCCTACCCAGCGCCAGCGTCCCGTTCCCTCTGCCTCCATCCCAGCTTCTCCCTTCCTGACCCGGAGCCCTCCCCCCATACTCCATTGCTGCTCCTTTTATCCATCACCGAGTCATTCTGCAAACCCTAGCGGCCCTTACTCAAGACCAGACCAGGGGTGACTCTGCTTCTGGGGAGCTTACAAGCTCTGGCTGAGGCAGGAAAATCGAGTCCAACGTCGTCACCCTGCCACACAGCAGCCACGCTCTCCTGTCCTCATCCCCTCTTTCCTGGGCCGGGCTCTGAGGATCACCTCCTCTTGCTACCAGGGCCTCCTCGTCTATGCCAACCGCGGAACGGAAGAAGACTTTATGAATCTACAGACTCAGGGCATCAAACTGGAAGGCACCATTGCGCTGACCCGCTACGGAGGTGCAGGACGGGGGGCCAAGGTGAGCAGCCGCCACCAGGGAACTGGGGGCTGGGAACAGGGCAGGGAACTGGGTGGGCCAGGAGCCAGCCCATGACAGGATGGAGTGGTGTTGGGTGGTGCACCGAGCCCTGGGTGGGGACAGAAATAGCGGGCTCCATTTCTACTGTTGGCACTCATGATGTGCTGTGTGACCCTGGAGGCCTCCTCTTACCCCTCTGAGCCTTGGGAAATCAGTGGATCAGGCAAAGTGTTCACCTTTGTTATTCTGGAGTCCAAGTTCTCCTGCAAAGGAGTTCTGAATATTTAGCTTAAATCCCTCTGGTATGCCTGCCTCCCAGACCGCATCTTTTCAACTAAAAAAAAATTTTTTTTTAAATCTTTTTTTTTTTTTCAAAGATTTATTTATTTATTTGACAGACAGAGTTCACAAGTAGGCAGAGAGGCAGGCAGAGAGAGAGAGGGGGAAGCAGGCTCCCCGCTGAGCAGAGAGCCCGATGCGGGACTCGATCCCAGGAACCCGAGATCATGACCTGAGCCGAAGGCAGCGGCTTAACCCACTGAGCCACCCAGGCGCCCCTCAACTAAAAATTTTGACTAAGTATGTCATGTCTGTGGTTTTAAAAAATTAGTTTTTTTTTTTTTTAATTAAAAAGGTATAGAGTGAGGGAAAGGACTAGGGATTAGTGTTTGGTGACTCCAGAGTTTCAGGTTGGCAAGATGAGGAACTCAGTGGGTGGTGGCAAAGGCAATGTAGTAACAAGTATGTCCTTCGTCCCGCTGAACTTTGTGCTATAAAGTAGAGAGGGCAGTAAATTTTACGTTATCTGTAGTTGAAAGAGGTGCCCAATAAAAGCTGCAAAAAAAAAAAAAAAAAAAAGGAGGGAAGAGGCATGGTCTAATTATACAGATCATAGAAATTCCCTTTAAAAAAAAAAAAAAAAGTCAAGTGGAAAAGTTCTCCTGTAATGCCATCCTCCAAAGAGGTAACCAGCTGATTTGTTTGTTTGTTTTAGTTTTCGGGAGGTCAACCCACAGTTTCTTTTGGAAGAGGTGCATATGAATATGATTTTTTTATTTCCCCCCTTCTATAAAAGCAGCATACTATACCCACTGTTTCAAACAGTGCTTTTGTTTGTTTGTTTGTTTACCTTAATACATCCTGGAGATCATTCTCGACTGGTGCATAAATTGCGTCCTTGTTCTTTTTCTTTTTCTGAGGTCCTGTTTTGTTTTTATGGTACTAAAACACGCCAGCATAAAATTAAATCGAATTGAATTATAAAATTCATCTCCAGTGTTTAATGCTGGCCCTTAAGCACCTTTACAGTGTTGGACAACCGTCCCCACCATCCATTTCCAGGACTCTCGATCATTCCCAATGAAACTCTGTGCCCCTTAAACACTCAGGCTCTCCCCATTCCTCCCCAGCTCCGGGGAACCTCTCACCCACGTTCTAGAAACGTATGAATTTGCCTGTTCTAGAAACCTCACATAAGAGGAATCACGCACTGTCTGTCTTTCTGTGTCTGGCTTCTTACCGATCGTCATGTTTTCAAGGCACATGGATGCGGAGCCCAAGCATCATTGCTTCCCAAGGCTGAATGATACTCTCTGGCACGTGGGGGCCCACTGGCTTGTCCACTCCTCCCAGTGGGCACTTGGGCCAATCCCTGCTGTTGGCTCGTATGAACAGGGCCACTGTGCCCATGGCCGCACGCGCATACCCTGCTCCCCTAGGCAGCTGCCTGGCGGCGACAGTGGCTCAATACTCCGTTTCTGTGCCCTCTGCGCTGATCAGCATCGGCCCACCTATGCCCCATGGTCCGTTGCTGCCTCCAGCCGCACTTAACTGGTGCCAACATCCTCTTGCCTGTGGGAAGACAGATCTTTCATAGCAAGGAAGGAAGCGGGAAAGGGACCTGGGCCCGCCTCCCCCTTGCCCTAAACACAGTCTCATTCACCTCCCGCAGGCTGTGAACGCCGCGAAGTACGGGGTCGCTGGGGTGTTGGTATACACGGACCCTGCAGACATCAACGATGGGCAGAGCTCTGCCAATGAGACCTTCCCAAACTCCTGGCGCCTGCCTCCATCTGGGGTGGAGCGAGGCTCCTATTATGAGTATTTTGGGGATCCCCTGACTCCCTACCTTCCAGCCAATCCCTCTTCCTTTCGCCTGGATCCTGATGCTGCCCCTGGATTTCCTCCAATTCCCGCTCAACCCATTGGCTTCGATGATGCCAAAATCCTTCTCTGGTAAGCTCTTGTGCCCACCCCCGTCCCTGGACGGGGACCCCTACCCACCCTCCAGTGGCCCCAACCTTCAACGCCCACACCATTCACCTCCTCCCCAGTAACCTCCAGGGACCCACGGCCCCGGCTGCCTGGCAGGGAGCACTGGGTTGTGACTACAGGTTGGGGCCTGGCTTCCGGTCTGATGGTGACTTCCCAGCAGGCAGGTGAGCTGGGGCCCCTCCTCCTCACGGCTCCTCTCCTCTTCCTCCTCTTCCCTGGTTATGCTTCCCTGTCCACCTCAAGGCCTAGCCTTTCCCTTTCTTCTCTCTCCCAACCTTCCCGACTCCAGAACACCTACCTGTCCTGTCTTGGGGAAAGCCAGTGAAACAGCTGCGCGGCCCACAAGGCCCCGTGGAGTTTCACGCCCACTTCACCTCTGACCTCCACACTTCGGCCACCCCCTCTCTTGAACATGCCAAGCTCATTCCCAAACCAAGACTTCCGCACTCGCTGTTCCCTCTGCCTGGAACACCCTTCCCCATACTCCTGCCATTCCTGGCCAGCACTAACCTTCCCACCTGCCACCAGGTAACCTCTCAGGGGTGGACCCCTTAGTGTCCTCCCCATTTCCCTTCAGCCAATTCTCCCTGCAGTCGCTCAGTTCCTCGGGCTTCATCTTGCTGGGGGAGAGGGGGATGGGACGTCCCACAAGGGTAGGGCTGTGTCTGTCTCAGTCACTGCCCAGTGCCTGCTAAATATCCAATAAGTACTTAACTGAATGAGTCCATGGAAAGAACTGGAATCAGAAGAGTGGGGCTTGCTTCCTCTTTTTTTTTTTTTTTTCTGGTGAATAGAGGACATTTATTTTTTTTAATATTTATTTATTTGACACACAGAGAGAGAAATCTCAAGTAGACAGAGAGGCAGGCAGAGAGAGAGGGGGAAGCAGTCTGCCTGCTGAGCAGAGAGCCCGATGCGGGGCTCAATCCCATGACCCTGAGACCATGACCTGAGCCGAAGGCAGAGGCTTAACCCAATGAGCCACCTAGGCACCCTAGAGGACATTTAATATTAAGTGCTGATCAAACAGAACACAAGTGGAGAGTCCATAGGGGAGGGGTGGCTTGTGCAGGGGTGTGTGGGGGGAGGGGTTCTTGGAAAGTAGTCCCTGGAGTCTCCTGAGCAAAGGGGCCTGGCCTGGGGTATCATGAGCATCCAACGTACCCAGTCCTTGGCCTAAGTTGGGGCCCCCCACAGGGTGTCTGTGGAGTCTCACCTTTTTTCCAGCTCCTTTGCTGGAATCCACACTCCCAGCGTGATGGGGTACTTGGTCCTTGCGAGGGGTCCGGAGGGTGTCCAGGAAGCAGGCCAGGGTTGGGACTAGGGCTCAGGGCCCACTGCCCGAGGACATGAGAACCCCTAGGGCTGTGCACTTTTTTGAGATCTGCCCCCATTCCTTCCTGCAGGCTGGCCAAGAGCAGAGCGGGGGTGAGCAGGGCCCCCAGCCTCTACTGAGTCCCAGGGTCCTCAGAGGGTGGGGTGGAGGAAAGGTGGAGACAGGGTCTGGGCCACCAGCTGACACCACCAGTTTAAAACTGTAACTTAAGGGATGCCTGGGTCTTTGCTCAGTGGGGAGCCTGCTTCTCCCTCTGCCTGGGCTCAGCACTCTCCTTCTCTGACAAATAAATAAAAATTTTTTTTAAGATTTTATTTATTTATTTGTCAGAGAGAGAGAGAGGGAGAGAAAGCAAGCACAGGCAGACAGAATGGCAGGCAGAGGCAGAGGCAGAAGCAGGCTCCCTGATGAGCAAGGAGCCCGATGTGGGACTCGATCCCAGGACGCTGGGATCATGACCTGAGCCGAAGGCAGCTGCTTAACCAACTGAGCCACCCAGGCGTCCCAAATAAATAAAATTTTAAAAAAACAAAACTAAACAAAACAAAAAAACCACCTGTAACTTAAGTGCAGAGAGGGCTTCCAGCCTGGGGTCAGGGTGGGAGCAAGGAGGAGGAGCTGGGGTGGGAGTGGGAAGCGGCAGAGGAAAAAGCGAACAAAAAGTTTTGGGTTTTGCTTCCGGCATAAGAAATATTTTGTTTTTGGATCTTGGTCTTTGGATTTACTGGGGTGGTGGGAGGGGGCAGGGAAGGATGGTGCGGGAGGTCCTTGCTGCCTCTCTAGTTACCTGCGGGCCAGAGACTTGGTGGTGTTCCTTTCTCGTTCTGGGTCTCAGTTTCCCCTGCATTGGGTTGGGAGCGGGAGTGGGCAGGGCCAAGCCTCTGGTCGCCCCCTGGGCTCCCCAAGCCAGGTGAACGTGAGTGTCCACAACCGCCGGGAGCTGCGGAACTCCTCCAACGTCCTGGGGATCATCCGCGGCGCTGTGGAGCCAGGTGAGTCCCTCGGGCCGGGCCCCGCCCCGGGCATCTCTAGCCACGCCCCCTGCGCCCGGCCTGGATGGCCCCGCCCACACTCCCAGGAGTTTTCTGAGTGTCCACTCCTCTTGCCAGACCGCTACGTGCTGTACGGAAACCACCGCGACAGCTGGGTACACGGGGCCGTGGACCCCAGCAGTGGCACTGCCGTCCTCCTGGAGCTCTCCCGAGTCCTGGGGACCCTGCTGAAGAAGGGTGAGGCAGCCCCGGTCCCTGGTCTAGGGACCGTCCCAGCAGGCGGTCACCTCCAGCCCGCGCCTCCCTACGCTCGCGGGAGTCCTGTCCCACCTCCTCTGTCTCCCGCTCCAGTGCTCACTTGTGCCAAGTTCGAGGGCGCCGGGGGCCGACCTGCATGGACGCCAGCCCTGGCCTACCTAGCCCAAGTCACCCGGTGGGATGTGGGGGAACTCGTGCAGTGGCGAGGCCGGGTGCCGCCAGGAGCAAGGCGGTCCCCAGCCTCTGCCTTCAGGGATCTTCAGCAGAGTTGAGGCAGGGATAACAGACAGTCGTTAACAAATATGCCCCGTGTGCCTGCTGTATGCCAAGCCAGTTCCAGGCACAGCAGACCCCACAGTGAACACCCGAGTTGCTGCATGCAAAGACGTCGCCATAAGGAGGACTATCTAAGGGGCTCTCCGGCACAAGCCTGAGCTCAGGAACGCCTCCCTATGGAAGTGGCAGTTTGGGGTGGGGTGGGGATCCAGGTGGAGGGCATAGCATGTGAAAAGGAGAGCCTGGACCAGGGGACCACCCAGCTGGGGAGTTTGGAGTTCAGTCCAAGGTTGGGGGGAAAATGGCATGGGATTTTTTTTTTTTAAGTTTTTAAAAAATTTATTTATTTGAGAGAGAGAGAGAACGCACAAGTGGGCAGGGTGGGGGGGATATGGGGAGGAGCAGAGGCAGAGGGAGAGGGAGAAGCAGACTCCACGCTGAGCAGGGAGCCCCATGCAGGACTCCATCCCAGGACCTTGAGATCATGACCTGAGCCGAAGGCAGATGCCCAAATGACCGAGCCACCCACATGCACCTTCTTTCCCTCTGCCCCCAAGTGTACAGATCAGTGGCATTAAGTATATTCCGTGTTGTACACGGAAGGATGGCCTGGAGAGGCTGGGGGACCTAGACCTCCTGTCACTGGCTGCCCCGCCAGGGCCGGCCCTTCCTCCTCCGCACGTCCCCAGCATTCCCCCCAAGCCACCCCGAAGATCCGGCCACCCTGTCCTCCAGCCCTTTATCCCCCTCCCCAGGCACCTGGCGTCCCCGCAGATCCATAGTGTTCGCGAGCTGGGGCGCAGAGGAGTTTGGGCTCATTGGCTCCACAGAATTCACCGAGGTGAGCGAGCCTGGCGAGGCGGGCGGTGGCCGGATTCCCGAGGCGGAGGCTGGCCGGGCTCACGTCGGCCCCCCGACCCGCAGGAATTCTTCAGCAAGCTGCAGGAGCGCACCGTGGCCTACATCAACGTGGACATCTCCGTGTTTGGTATAGGGGGCGGCGGCTGGGCTGACTGGGACAGGGAGAACGAAGGGGCGGCGGCCCGAATAGTCCTTCTGCGGTCTGCCCACAGCCAATGCCACTTTGAGGGCGCAGGGGACGCCTCCGGTCCAGAGCGTCATCTTTGCCGCCACCAAACAGGTGAAAGGGGCGGGGCAGGGAGGATGGCGAGGGCGGCGTGAGGGCGGGCGGGGCTGGAGCGGGTCCTGATTGGAGGGGCCTGGCGGGGGTACTGAGGCTGGGTCCAGGCCTTGTAGGACCCTCAGGCCTGTGCATAGGATGGATACTCGGGTGGGCCCGGCGGAGGGCCACCTGTTAGGCCTGGGGAGGGGCCGGCCCCAGACTACATTCCCCTCTGGGTCAGATCCCTGCACCAAGCCCGGTTGGCCTCAGCATTTACGACAACTGGATCCGGTATTCCAACCGCAGCAGCCCAGCCTACGGCGTGGTCCCCAGGTGAGCCCAGGGCCAGGACAGGGGCCCCGGGAGGGCAGCCTGGCCCAGTACCCTCCAGCCTGACCGTCTTTCTTTTCGCAGCCTGGGCTCTCTGGGCGCTGGCAGCGACTATGCCCCTTTCATTCACTTCCTGGGCGTCTCCTCCATGGACATCGCCTACACCTATGACCGGGTGAGTGCGTACCCCTCTGTCCCCCAGCTCGGTACGTTGCTCCCCCAGCCCCTTCCTCTCTTAGAGTCTCTCTAGTGAGTCTGGCTCACTCACTCAGTAGCTTAAGAAACTTAGCCTCTCTGAGCATCTGTCTACGCTCACCTATGTTATTTTATCCAATTTAAGCTACTACTGATTTTAAGATGCAACACCGTGATATGCACCACTGGCGGAGCGGGGGGGGCGCGGGGACACGCTGCCAGTTAGTTGTAGGATGACATTGACTTGAAAAGCATCCTGGCTTTTCAGCTCTTCAAGGAGCATGCAACTCTTGATCTTGGGGTCATGAGTTCAAGCCTCACGTTGGATGTAGAGATTACTTAAAAAAATAAAATCTTAGGGTCCTGCGTGGCTAAGTCATTAACCTTCAGGTCGTGATCCGGGGGTCCTGGGATCGAGTTCCACATCAGGCCCCTGCTCAGTAGGAAGTCTGCTCCTTCCTTCTCCCACTTCCCCTGCTTGTGTTCTCTCTCTCACTGTCTTTCTCTGTCAAATAAATAAATAAAATCTTAAAAAATATATATATAATAAAATCTTAAAACTAAAGAGGCATCCTGATTCGAGATCTTAAAAAATGAAAACATGTTTACCCCAGAATAGATTAAGGAACAGTATGAAACAGGGAAGGATTGGTAGCACTGGTGTGCAGGGTGAAAGGAGGTAAGGGATATGGAGTGCCCAGCTTTGTCTCCCTGCCTGATGCTCCAAAAGCTTCTTCTCCCCCTCATGGCCCTACAGCTCCTGGGTGGTAGAGTTGGGATTGGAATCCTCTGATTAGAGTCCTGAGCCTTCCCCTTCATATGAAATGAGAAACTGGCAGCTGACCCAGCTTGGCCATTATTAGCTGTGAGGTCAGGCAGATAATTTAATCAGTTTCCTCCTCTTTAAGTGGAGTTCTAGAACCTAACATGGCTGTAGTAATGATTTGAGATAATGTCCTTCTGCTGTAGCTCACTGTTGGTACATCCCCCTCGCCCCCTTCTTATCCCAAGCCTGTCACTGTGGCATTGTTCCCCTAGAGCAAGACCTCAGCCAGGATCTACCCCACTTACCACACAGCCTTCGACACCTTTGGTTACGTGGACAAATTTGTGGACCCTGGTGAGGAGGGGGCGGGTAAGGGGAATCCTGAGGTTGAGGGAGGAGGGACCGAAGACTGAGCCCTGGCCTGGTCACCCTCCCCGCAGGCTTCAGCAGCCACCAGGCTGTGGCCCGGACAGCAGGGAGCGTGCTTCTTAGGCTCAGTGACAGCCTTTTCCTTCCTCTGAACGTCAGTGACTATGGAGAGACCCTCCGAAGTTTTCTGCAGGCTGCCCAGCAGAACCTGGGGGGCCTGTTGGAGCAGCACAGCATCAGCTTGGGTATGGAGTCCCCTTGACATGGAGGTGTGGGGAGCTCTGCCCTCCAGGGCTAAGATGCTGGCTGTTCCCCACAGGGCGTCTGGTGACTGCAGTGGAGAAATTTGAGGCTGCAGCCGCGGCCTTGGAGCAGCACCGATCCGTGCTGCAGAAAGGCTCCCCTGAGTGAGCAAGGGCACTAAGCAGGTGTCTGGGAGGGCGGCATCTGGGGCAGGAGGCAGGCTGGCCACTGGGCTGCTGGTTCCGGGGTGACAAAGGTCCCGCTGCTTCCAGCCCCCTGCAGGTCCGGATGCTCAACGACCAGCTGATGCTCTTGGAGCGGACCTTCCTAAACCCGAGAGCCTTCCCAGAGGAACGCTACTACAGGTGAGCCTGTTCCAAAGCTCTTGAGAGGTACAGTGTGGGGAGGCTGGGCAGGGGCAGCCACTGGAGGGAGGAGGAGCTAAGAGATTTCCTGGCGTTTAGAGCACAGCCCAGCCCCTTGAAACAGTTGGGGAATCAGGCTCAAAGGACCGGTGCAAATCCATCAAGGTCACCTTGGGACTATAAGTGGTCTCTCACCACCACTGCTTTAAGGGTCCCAGATTTCAGAGGCAGTGGGGAGGTGCCTCTGTGCCTTGCTATGTACAGATGAGCCCGTTCCAGGCTGAAGCCCCTCTCTTTCCTGGTCCCTGAGTGACTATGCTTCCCCCACGTCTCCTGTCAGCCATGTGCTCTGGGCACCCCGCACCAGCTCTGTGGCCACATTCCCCGGCCTGGCCAATGCCTGCTCCCAGGCCATGAACACCAGCCTTGGATCGGAAGCCTGGGCTGAAGTGCGGAGGCAGCTCAGCATCTTGGTGGTGGCCCTGGAGGGTGCAGCGGCCACCCTAAGGCCTGTGGCTGACCTCTGACCCCAGCTCCCCACAGCCCTCAACCTGACGTTCTCCCACTCCAGTTTTCCTTGGGTGTGTCCCAGTCTTCCTTGATGCCAACCTGAGGCCCAATCACGGGACCCTATCAAGCTTGTGAGACAACAGCTTAGGGTCCCACCAGTTGGGGACACCGGATGGGAATGAGATGCTTTCCTCAGGGTATACCCCTACCCTGTCTCAACCCCTCCCTGCCCTCCCGTAAATCAACCGAGCAGAGTTACTGTCTTACAAAACAAATAAAACACTTTTACTGTGTAGGAATTATGAAAAAAGAAACCTGAGGGCTCAGAGCCAGTCCTGGGCTCTGGGAGAGTGCCTGGCTCCTCCTCATGCTGGGGACTTGGGTCTGTCCACACCCTCGTCTTCCTCCTCAGCCATGACCACCTCCTCCAGGGTGCGCCCTGCAAGTTTGCTCCCCACCAACACGTGGCAGGTGCCAGTAGGTGGCACCCCTTCCTCAGTGTAGCGACCTCTGAGAAACACAACTCTCTCCTGTCCATCCAAGGGCAGTCCGTGGGCCTGGCACAGGTCCCGCGCCTCTTCGGGCCCATCCAGGGCCAGGAGGTGGACCATGAAGCCCAGAGGCAAAGTCTGGCCTTTGGGGGTGCTCAGGGCACGAGCGAGGCGGGCCAGGGCTCCCCGGCGAGCACGGCCTACGTGGCACCGGACAGCGCAGCTCTGCAGGTAGGGCAGGACGCGGAGCAGGCGGAACAGGCGGGCGGTGTTGCCTTCGCGAAAGGCCGAGTCCACAGCCAGGGCCCGGCGCAGGGCCGGGCAGGAACGAAGGGCGTCAGGCAGCTGCAGGACCTCATGCAGGGCCTCCATGGAGCCTGTGAAGGCAGAAGCCAGGGTGAGCAGAACTTTTCTTTCCTATACCCGGCCACCTTCCATCCCGTCCCGTTAGGCCTTCCCGATCTCTCCTCCCAAAGGCTCGGTCCTCAGCCAGGCCCACCTCCCGCCTACAGCCAAGCGCACCTCCGACCTTGGCCCGCCTACCTTCCACTTTGGCCACGCCCCTCCCCTGGGCCAAGCCCACCTTCCCGCGGGATTTTTTCCAGCAGCCCCCTCCAGAGTCTTATCTGAATGAGTTACCAGAGCCCCTTCAAACAGTCTGGATCCTCATAACGAAGGGAGGCATTGTTTTTGGATGAGGGAGACAGGCCCAGATAAGTTCACGACTTGCCCGAGGGCTGTCTCAGAGTTCCAATGTAGTAGAATTTGACACAACAAAATCCAGGTTTTCTGACTTCAAATCCACAGCCCTTTCTCCACTTGCCCTAAAAAGCTGGCTCAGGTGTCCACCCGGTTAAGGCCTTTTCTTCGAGGACATTCTGCCTCTGCTTCCCCTCCAGGAGAATCATGGACATTAGAACCTTGGACCACTTTTGTAAACTGAGGCTTCTGACCCATTAGTGGGGTTTGAAACCAAGAGTATCTTATTACAATTAAATACGACAGAATTTATTAGAATGCACCGTCCATTCATAGGAAGGATGTAATGTCTTGAAACTTGTGTGTCAGATATATTCTTGGCTGTTGTGCAGTACTGAACAGGGAATTAAAAAAGTTTGAAAATCACTAGGCCAATCTTTCCTTTCCAACCCCGTCCTCTCCACTTTTATTAACCCCCCAAAATTGAGACACAAATAGGGGAAGGGACAGGCCAGAAGGCCCACATGGGGGTTCAGTGGATCCTGTGCATTGACTCGACACACATTTAGAAGGCAGGGATGGAGAGGGAGCTAATGGTCAGATTGCAAAGCTTCTCTTTCCTTCCCCGGCCTCCACTGTCCCCACGGAGGCACCACCCCTACCCCGTACCGCCGCGGAGACCCCGACTCACCCAGATTATAGAGCAGAAAGAGACCCTGGAAGGCGGCCTGGCGGGGATGCGGCCCGGCGCCCTGCGCGTAGCAGCGCCGCAGGGAACCGAAGCCCTCCTGCACCTGGGCCTGCAGCAGCACCGGGTCGGCCGGCCCGCGCGCTCCGTCCGGCCCCAGCCGCGCCACCACGGCCAGCAGCACGGCCAGCGCCGCCTCCAGCACCGCCGCCGCCTCGGCGTTGCCCGCGCCCTGCAGGGCCAGGTCCAGCCGCACGGCGCGCAGCCGGTCCGCCACGAAGCTGGCTACCTCCGCGCAGGATGCGTCGGCGCGCTCGGCCACCTCGCCGGCCAGATAGCGCACGGTGACCAGCAGCACGGACGGCGGACGCAGCTGGCTCGGCGGGGGCCGCGCCTTGCCGGCGGCCGGCCGCTTGTACTCCTTCACGGCGCGCTGCGGGTCCGCGCGGGGCGGGTCGCTGCCGCACCCCGGCGCCACCTCGAAGCGGTGGAGGCGGCGCTCCTTTTCGCGCTCGGCGCGCTCGGCGGCCGGACACATGTCTGGGCAAGTGCCCATGGGCAGCTCGCAGCCGGCCATGGCGGCGCTGAGGGGAAAGGATAGGGACTCAGCATCCCGGAGACGACGGCGGCCGCTCGCCCCATTCTACGCGAAGGCAGGCGGAGGGCGGCCGGAGCTCGAGCGCCGGGGCGGACGGATCCCAGCTGGGCCCCGCCTACCCGCCCTACCGGGCTCCCGCCGTCCTCTCACCGAGTCTTGTCCCCTCCCACAAGGCCTGGAGTAGGCCTCCCGAGACACACTGCGTTGTAGTTCAGCGCCGCCACTTCCGACTCAGGCGCCGCCAAAGCGCCCAGGATGCACCGCGCCCAGCCCAGCCCACTCCCATGATGCACCAGCCTGTAGTCCCTTCCGCAACCAATCGCTTTGCTGGAGAGGCGGGGAAGCCGTGAAGCCACGCCCTCCGGGCTTCAGCTCACCAAACCGTGAAACCTCGCGCTTAGCTTTTGGGCACCTCCCAAGATGGGTAACCCCAGTTTCGGTTCCTCTTCATCCTCCCCTTCACCCAGTATCCTGGCTCAATGGGCCTTACTGTCATTTTCTACTCGTTTCCCTGGAGACTGTTCTCCCCATTTTCTAGATCAGGGGTCAGCAGACTTTTTCTGCAAAGGCCCAGATAGTAAGTGCTTTGGGATTTGCAGGTCGCAACTGGGCAACTCGGCAACTATTCACCTCTGCTGGTGCAGCGGGGAAGCAGCCACAGACAGTATCAAGTGAATGAATCTGACTGTGTTCCAACAGAATTTTATTTTCAATACTTAAATTTCATGTAATTTTCATCTGTCACAGAATACTATGCTTCTGATCTTTTTTCAACTATTGAAAAATGTAAAAACCATTCCAGCTCATGGGCCTTACCAAAAAAAAGGCCTTGGGCAGGATGCAGCTGCAGGCCATGGTCAGCAGACCCCTGTTCTAGATGGATGAACGGCTAGCTCAGGACCATGGGTGCGGCCCCCACAAGATACACAGGCGGGATCAGAAGTGTTTTGTCCTGATTCCAAAGTGGCAGTGCGGTCAAGGAGCTCTGAATTCGTATTTGTCTCATTGTTGGTCCAGTTACATACAGAAATGACCCCTAGAGTTACAAGACCAGGACCCTGGGCCAGGCCCCAGGGAGCGTGAAAAGGAGTGGCTGGCAGTGCTGGAGCTAGAGTCCTGGGCTGGGGTTCACTCCTCCTCAGGAGGGGAGCTGGGACAGGTGCTTGTGCAAGATTTCTTCCGCTCTCTTCAAGTACTCAGCTGCCTTCTTCTTCACACCCTCCCGGCGGGCAGGTGATGGGTCACCTGTGGAGAGAGAATGGCTCAGCTGAGATCCCTGGGTTCAAACCCTTAGCCAAGCCCTTAATGGCTCACAGAGCATCAACATGTGTCTCTCCCCACCTCCCTGGGAACCCCGTCTATTTGCCCCATTTTAGAAATAAGAAAACTGAGGCCACAGGAGGTAAAGAAACTGCCCGAGGTTATGCAGTTGGTCAGTGGTGGCAATTCTGATCCTTGACTGGTTTGTCTCTCACTTTCCGTTCCCTTCACACCACCACCCGAGACTCCAGGCCTGACCTTCTGCCTTCCAGTCATACTCACCAGGAACACCCTGCAGCAGGATGTGCACACCGTCCCGGTAGCCCTGCAGAGCTGCAGCGAAGGCACCTGCCTTCTCATCCCGCAGAGCCTGGGTGATGAGCTCTGTGGCTTGGCTCAGATAGGCGGGGGCTGGCCGGCCTTCCTCATCCTCCTCCTGCCCTCCAGGCTCCCAGGGTTCCTGGTCCAGACTTTCAGACTCTGCCTCCATTGCTGCCAACTCACCCATGTGGGTTGGACTGGGGCCTGCACCTTCTACAATCAGATATGGAGGGGTCAGGCCAGGCTGCCCTCCATTTCCCAGGGCCTGCAACCCATCCCCAGACCTCTCTTGCCCAGCAGGATACCAACCTGCCGCAGATGGAGGGAAGCATTGCCAAAGGAAGTCAAAAGCCATTCACATGTAACAGACTGGCCACGATTGATTTAATTGGTGGAGTTTCTATGCTTTTGTAAAAACAGTATCACCTTCTGTCTGTATTAACATTAGTTTGCAGGGTCTGGGTCACTGGACCTACTTCCCTCCTGACTACAGTTGATCTACAAATCTAAGAATTCCCATCACAAAGTTTAACTGAAGGACGCCAAACCAGGGCAGAAATGCTCCAAACCCTGGAATGTCAGAGTAACAGATGCAGAGAATCTCACATCTTACAACTTCAGCTGAGGACCCAAACAGGAAGACAGTGGGTGGTGGGTATCCTCACATTCCAGAGAGGGCTCGTTATAGACCCCAGGACTGGCAAAAAGGAGGCCAAACATCCCCTCTGCAGCTTACACAAGAGAAGGCTAGGGGTGCCTGGGTAGCTCAGTGGGTTAAAGCCTCTGCCTTCAGCTCAGGTCATGATCTCAGGGTCCTGGGATCAAGTCCTGCATTGGGCTCTCTGCTCAGCATGGAGCCTGCTTCCTCCTTTCTCTCTGCCTGCCTCTCTGCCTACTTGTGATCTCTGTCTGTCAAATAAATAAATAAAATCTTAAAAAAAAATAAAGCTTCTTTAAAAAAAAAAACAAAAGGGAAGGCTAGCGATTTGGCCCATCTTTGGAGAAAAGGCCTTTGGCGGGAAGGAGCCAGAAACAGAAGCACCAGGGTGCACCACTGGCCTGGAGGGGGAGGGGCGGGCATTTCTTTTAGCTCCAACCCAGTGACCCCGGGA